GTCAAAAATACTTCAAATATAGTCAGGTCCACAGGGTAAATTAGCAGTGTCATCAAACTGTGACACGACTTGATTGAAGTTCAGGGCAACTCTAAAATTCTGTTCTGCCTCACACTATTCAGGGATAAGGAGCTATCAGGTATTAGGCACTTTGCTTAGACTAAGATAGTATACTCTGACAGGTATCAGCTTGACACTATGGTGTGGTTTCATTAGTGTGAGACATGCACTAAATATAGAATTAATTGAATGAACCTTTATTACCTTAAAGGAATTTGACTTGCACATCAAGAGTTTATACAACATATACAACAATAATACAATTCAACTATAGTACAATACCATAATACAAGCTAACATTTAACAACATTGCTCAAACAGAACTCTTTTAGTATCAGAAAATAAAAAAAACAGAGAATTAGCCTGTAAAGTGTCTAAAAAAACCAACATTAATAATAAGATCTGTACCTGCAAACATTGTTTTAATTGTGCAACAGATGAAAGCTTTCAGGTATAAAGGACGCAGATGCTCTCTTAGTCTTTATACAGGGGATCTGGTAGAGGACAGAGGATATACCCTCTATCCCAGAGAGTAGGAGAGAATATCCTAAAAAGACTGGGATGCAGCAGTTATCTTTCCACCAGTCCTGATCACTTTGTTCAACTCGTTTGTGTTCTGCAAAGATGTGGCACCTCCTTGACTCTGAATATGAAATGTTAAAAAGCTCTGAATAAAACTCTTATAAAAAAAACGCTGACATTGTGCTTTCTACATTAAAACTCGTAGGTAGCCTCCAGAGCTTTCCTCTCCTTCTCCGCCTGATGAATTTTAACTTTAGTGTAAGCTAAAAACATCCCTCCCAATTTTCGCAACAGAAAAGTAATACCAAGCTAACGAAATCTCACCGCCAAACTGACGTGGCGTGTCAGGATAGGTACAAGGTGTTTCTCAATATAGCACACTTAACTGGCTGTTTCCACATTTACGCCTCTTACTGGCTCAAAAACCTAGAATAACAGACAACAACAATACCATTGGGCGGGTCTGCTGGCGAAGATGTTCTGTTAAACTTGACAAACGTTTTTTTTTTAAAGTTAAGGTGACCAGCCCTAGCCTGCAGGGTGTCCATAATTCCGGTCTTCCTCGCTCCTTCCTGGCATCAGCACAAAGGGCAGATCCACATAATGTTTGACTCTCTTAAACCTTTTCTGTCCTTTTTTTCTGTCCCTCTTTCAATATCTTCTTCTCTTTATACACCACTATCTATCCATCTATGTCCTAAACTGCTTTCTCCAGTCCAGGGTAGCAGGGGAACCCGGAGCCTAACCCGACGAGCAACAGGTAAAAGGTGGGGTACACCCTGGACGCTACAGCAGACACACAGACACGCACACACTCACGCCAGGGCAAATTTTAGAGAAGCCAATTAACCTGCCCGTGTGTTTTTGGACAGTGGGTGGAAACCAGAGCGCCCGAAGGAAACCCACGCAAACGTGGGGAGAACATGCAAACTCCACACAGACAGCACCCCAGGTCAGTAATTGAACCCAGGGCTCCAGTGCTGCAAGGCAGCAATGCAGACCACGATGCCCCCATGCTGCCCTATAACCAATGTAATCATTTTTTAATATAGTAACTGCGATGTGCTTTTTAACACTACAGCTCAAACTGGACACAGTTCATATACCTGTCACTATTGTACTGAGGTTTAACAGCTACACTGTATACACAAAACGTAGCTGAGTAAAAACGATGAATGTGATAGAACATGCTATGATCTAATTCGTTTTCGATTAATCTTATCATTGCAGCAAAACCACTTTATACTTATCAGCACAAAGGCAGTGCATAGTAGCACATTTTAAGTCAACCGTGTTTATTTTAAAAAAGTGTCCTTAAAATGCCTGTTTTTAAAAACCGGAGAAACTTTAATTCCTATAGTGGCAAAATTCAAATCTAAAAAAAAAAATTCTGAATGCACAAAACCATCAAAGCAAACAAACGCTGTGCGTGGAGTTGTGAAGAAGGAAGGAGTTTTCCGGACTGGGATTGTAAGCAGTTGTTTCAGGATACAGGGGGAGAGCAGCCTACTGTATGTTGGCTTGAGTTAATATTCTAACATTCCCAGAAAGAGATGGGTCAGGGAGGATGGCTCCAGACTCTCATTTCCAGTCCAGTGGCCTTTTCACTCACTTCCTTTTCCTTCTGAAACGATCACTCCTCCAGCTCGAGATTCCAGCCCACACCCTGATATCATCTACCGTTTCCTGTTATTTCACTCTGTGGTTGCAGGGCTTACTGGATGTGTTCGGCATGACACTCTGTGACTACTTCTCTGTGCAAAGTTAATTCTACCCCAAAAAATGCGTTACCCATGCCCTGCAGGGGCTGGAGCTCATTTCAAACCCTAAATGGATCAGGACTGGGACGCAATGGCAATTAGGCCAATGAAGACACTCATCGAGTTCACAAATCTATCCAGAGCTGAGTTAGAATGAAAATCAGACCGGATTATTTTGCAGAACCGGAAGTGTGGAGTGCTGTAACAGCATACTGTAGGAAAGGAGGTCTCCCAGCTGGTTGACAGGAAGTGCACAGGGGAAACCAAATGGTGTTGCACAAAATAAGAACTTCCAGAAAGGCTGCACACACCCGCTACAAGGTTCTAGATCCAATCCTGCTCCTCTTGAGTCCCTATCTAGCTGATTTTAGAGACAGCAATTAAATCAGCACGTTCTACAGATCTGGAACGAACTGTGATCATTTGAAAGGACAATGCCTTAATTGAAGTACTTCAGAGATTCAAACAAAAATATTTCAGAGTTACCAAAGGATATCAAAAATAAAAAAGGGTTTTCATCAAATATATTAAGGCCAGAGTTAACTTCCATAATACGTTTACAAATTTCATTTCAGTCAGTGATTTTTAGTCACAAATATTGATGAACTCTAACAGCTTTTCAGTATGTGTTTCATCACTCAACAGCCTAAGGGAGACTGAATCTAGAATCGCATACAAAGATGTGCTATAAGTACACTCATAGGCAATGTCCTTTCAGACATAGAGAATGGTGGAAAGAGCGTACAGTAGGATCCAGCGGTACCGGTTTAGCCTCAGCGAAGTTTAAGACATTGCAATGTCGCCCCCTAGTGGGTCTCCGGTCTCCACAGCAAATGACACTTTGAAGGCATATCCTGCCTGAGAAAGAACCATTCAGTACCATAAAGTAGGTACAGTACGGTATAAATAGGGATGACTTAGGACTGTTTAAGAAAAAATGTAAACAACACTTGGTGAGGCACAAAGTGCTATGAAAGTGCAATTTATTCAGACCATTACTGGAGACTACGTTTCACTGCATTTAAATGCACTGACCTCCTACCATTTGTGAGATCAATGCCTCCGGGGAACGTTCTCTGTGTTAATGCAAAGTGCCATCTACTTCAACCAGCACATTAATTAGCACCCTTCCCCTGTGAGGTGGATGAGGCTCCATGTTGTGAAAAATCAATTAAATTGAATGCCAATTTAAAAATAAAAGTAACCTGTTTATTACAGCATCCCAAGGGACTGTGTTCAATGATCGGGGCAGTGGTGTACTCACAGAGGATGTTATGTGAAAGCTACTGTGTCTGTACACTGGAATTAACCCTATGAACACCATGATAACATTCCTAATCCAGGCTTCACTCCTGTGATGTGTTACTAAGATACAGAAGAAGCGTTACTGCTGGAACTTGTCAGATCTCAGAAGATAAGTATGTCTGGGTCTTGTCAGTACTGTAGGGTCTCGACATTCGTTATGGTTCAGAGAACTGTAGCCAAATTCGCACACCGCCAAGCCCACCCCTATACCTGTGTGCCTGAATATAACTCTGTTGAGATTTTTTCTTGTGTTCTAAACACAACAGACCTGTCACTCAGAGAGATGGCTTGGCTCGATCAACACTGGAGCCTGTCCTGTGGTGGTTCATCAATAGATCAGGCTTCCCTCTGCGCTGCTGTATCTTCTAATTGAGCACAAATAGTGCCAAATGCTTCCTGGCTACTATTGACCTTGTTTTATTGAAGTTCTTTTTTTCCACAGTATCATTAGAGGTTGCTAGGCAACCCATGTAATCATTGGCGAGAGTCTGCAAAGTGAAGGAACGTGCTGGGCTTGACGTTTCTCGAATTACAAACACAGGAAAATGTTCTCGACATGCTGCTTCTTTCACACAAATCTTTTTTTTCTCTCATATGAGGTGTCATTTCTCAGGAGACTGATATTTATGATTAGAGAACTGATTCAGGGCACACAAAATGTGTTTAGCAAAATGCTGTCTCCCTCCTCTATGGCGAGTTGTGGGTTCGAATCCCTGCTGTTGTACCCTGAGTAGCTCTAGTCCACCCAGCTGTATAACTAGGGGGTGATCAGTGTCCCATCCAGGGAGGGTGTCACATGCTCTCTGTTCTTATTAACACTATGGAAACCAGACTAAGCTCTGGCCCAGTCAGCTGCTGTGTCTAGTTTATGGAAACTTCCTCTACTGTCTCTCTATCTTTGACTGCGCATTCAGTAAGCATCTGTCCAGAAAAGTATTGGATCAGCTGATCTTACAATGTATCCACATTATTATGATGTCACAAATGAATAATTCCTATACTCCATTCAGGCTGAACCTTTGAAGGCCCAGGCTAGAGCATTTTAGGTGTTGCTCCACCTTAACCCCCTATGGAAACTCCAGATGGCTCACTCAGGTTCACTCAGGTTCTCCTGGCTGTGACCAGCCTGGCATCCTGGGGTTCATACAGGACAAGGAAGTAACCTCACAGTAGATTGTTTTAGGGCTCAAAAAAGCTGTCTGTCTTTTCTTAAGACATGGACCTTCAAGGCTCGGCCCCCCTCCCCACTACCCCCAGAGTGCATGATGGTAACTCAGTGTTTCTCAATCGCTCGGGAACGACCGGGGCTGCCCGCCCCAGTGCCAGCGTGTGCAATGGGGGGATGCGTCTTACCTCCAGGGGTGCAGGGTTAGTAACGGGCTGCAGGGGCTGCAGGGGCTGCAGGGGCTCAGCAGAGTAGGGCTCTGGCACGTAGGAGACAAACTGCAAAGCAAGATATGTCAGATCTGTCAGTCCACTGACTCACACCTCTCCCAGCACACATACTGTACAGCCACCCACCACCACCACAAAGTAGGCTCTCTGGTCTCTAGTGCAGCAATACTTTTGGCCAATATCAACATTATAGTTACTCGCTCCAGCAACCTCACGACCACATCGGAATTAAACTACAACAGCACACCCACTTGCAAAACCCCTGAAAGATAGAATAGATTTCTCGATTGCCATTAAGACACAGGAGTCCAAAATTCTTACACATTCCTGCGCAACTTCTCTGGGATCCCCAGAGGAAACACACTGGAAAACGTGGCTTCCTGTGGGTCGGATACAGGAATCCTCAAAGATAATCAAAGTTCAACAGGGCAAAAGATGGAATGCTATTACTTTCCAGGAATTCACATTTATTTTGGTGCCGATATACTAAGCGTCGTAAACACCTGCCCTTTTATATAAAGTGTTTGGACAACAGATGCAGTAGTTCTTTTTAGAAATCTTTTGTTGCCAGTCGAGTGGCAGTTCTGAGTAAGATGCAGCGATGTTCTCTACAGGAAGTTGTAAACAGACTCAGTGGCAATTATAGCCTTCATTGCCTGCTCTAAAAGATTGTTTCCGGTTTTGGTTCATCTTTTATCTGTACAAAACCACAAGCCAGTGCATGTTTGTGTCCTTTGGGTATAGGATTTCCACCTCACGTCATTCAGCTCAGGAGTCAATTCTTTTTATTCTTCGCTTAGCTCTTGCAGGGAGAAACAGCAGTGTATTTCTTTTCAAGATGCCTTCCTTGCAATGATGCAAAATGATAGAAGAACGATAGAAGAAGAACACGTTCTTCACTAATATGGTTTTCAGTGGCAACGTGTCTTTGTTCTCATGTATTTAATGTCAGCAAACTTTTAAATAACAAACATTCTGCATTTTCAGTTTTGTACTTTTAATTTTGTTTACAAAAACAGGAGGCACTAAGGTCTGAACACTGGTATCGGCTATCAGTTAGAATGGTCTGGTTTATTGTCATTGACGAGAATCTCGTCCTAGTCTTATCCCTATTTATAGCAATACCAGGCTGGCACAACCTCCGATGTCCATAAACAGCACCCTACGCAATGAGTACGGTTACGTCTGAAGTTAAACTCCGCAGTAAAGGGTGCTGGTGGTGATCTGTCTCTGTACGCAAGCAGAAGCACTTTCTTTTCCAGTAAGTAAGCCGGGACCAGAAGGGTGGCAGACAACGAACCGCATGATCTGGATCTGGCAAGCTTAGCAAACGGGCGGATGTAAGGATGACTCCATCTGGGCTAACAACGTCTGGGGGAGCAGGTGTGAATGAGGGGCTGTTCTCCCCCCACAAGGGACAGCAACGTCTAAAGAATGGCAACAAAACAGGTGAGGACAACCACAGTCCCAGAGGGCCAAGCAGTTCCTGGTCTTCTGGCCACCTTGGTCCTTAATTACCTAATCGAGCCCTTAATTGTTTAACGGGACATGTGAAAGCCTTTCCTTGTTCATAAGAAGCTGGAGAGATCTTTAAAACCTGTTGGCCAGAAGTCCTTGAGGACTAGAGCAGGGGCTGTCCTGCACTGAAGAAGTCCAGTCCAGTACAGCAACTGAATTGAACCAATTAATTAAATTGAACCCAAAGCACTCGCACCCGGGCCATGATATCGAGCGATAGGTGTTGGGCATGTAGAGTGAGCTACCCAGCTTTTGAGGCTGATGCTTTTGAAGCTGAAATCCTGGCTTCCTTTAAGAATTGGCTGGATGAGAGCCTCAGATCAGGAGAGCGGGCACCTATTTACACAAAGAGTTGTGGGAGTGTGGAACAAGCTGCCCGCCCATGTGGTTGACACCAATATCCCGTTTTCTTTCAGGACTTGCCTGGATGAGATTTAATTAACTTGGCAAGTTGAACCGAATGGCCTGGTTCTGGGTAAAAAATAGAACTAAAGAACTCAAGGCTGCAAAAAGTCGGACAAAGCACAAGGTAAAATGAATTTTGCTTTGCTGCAAAATCAACCCTGTATCTCCTTAAAGAAGCAGCTGATGGATGAGAAAGGAAAGATCAATTAAAGCTGTAGTTCCCATGGGACAGTGTTTCATAATTCATTCTGCTACAGATGACACTGTAGCCCAGATTGGTATTATCTTTTTTTAAATTGAATATGGCTTCTGTGCCAGACTTCATTACAGGCCCAAGGCCACTGGCGCATTAAAGTGGACACTGTTTCCTGGCATGCAGAAGAGAGGGTGTTACTCTGCCTGTGCATTGAGCTGAAAAAAATTCCACTGGGGCTTCCAGGGAACACAAATATCAAGAAATCAGAAACATTTGGCCATGACACTATCTCTGCAAGGCTAAGGCCGAAATTGCTCACAGGCTAGCAGTTGCATCTACCTTGAGTTCCACGTTCACAGCTAATCGGAGGAGTAGGTTATTTTGGTCTATATTGATTTACCCACTTAGAGAAAAACATTTTACACATGTATGCAAAAGCTGTACTTTCTTCCTCTTTCAAGCAAATCCTACTGATTCATTGGTGTGGAATTTCTATAACATTCTGCCCCAGACTGACGTACAAAAAATCATACTGTTTTAGTTCCGTTTTATGTCGGTTCAGTTTGCAGAGCCTTTATACTGTGTAAGAACACGAGGACGTTTGTAAGTGATACGACACATTATGTTTGTAGTATCATCCAACCGTTTTTTCAAAGGGGAAAGGGTGTTATATTCTAAAACATTGCTGGGCAGTCTGTTCCAGATTCCCACAACCTTATTCAACTTTTGCAATTAATGAATACTATTTGTGTGGAAAGTTTGGTCATGACAAATCTGGAGGAGTTCTCACAGATCTCTTTCTAATTCCTTGCAACGTTCATCCGAGTACCCCTGGACTCTGAGTCGGGGTTTAATAAAAATGAGCAAGAGGATTTAGAAGCCAGGTCCCTAGAAAAGGATTTTAAAAGATTGCTTACATGAGAAAATCTTTGCTTTTTAAATCTTTTCCGTGAACTCATCTTACGGTTACAGGCCGGCTGTGCTAGGTTAACAATTCGGAAAAAGCTGAAGCATTCCTTTGCAGATCGCCCCGCTACAGATATTCCCAGGGATCCGGGATCAGGGATCAGGGAAAACGGTTTCGTCGTGTCAGACTGTCAAAGAGCTGCCGAAAAGGTAGTCTCTTCTGTGCTTCTTCTCTGCTGCAGTCCTGCACAATGCTAGTTTCCCTGGATTCCAGGGGCTGTGGCACAAAGCAAGCCACTGTGCACTGATAGCACAGACATGGCTGCAGCAGACAGATGGAGGGGTTGTCATAGTAATGGAAAAAGAAGGAAAACAATATTCCACACAAAGAGTACAGAACAGAAGCAGCTCCCATCATCGGGATCGTGTGGTCTGGGCTTCAGGCAAGAGATTTTGTTCAAATTAAAAGGGAAAAGAGATTTTTTTTTGTTTTAATAATTTTTTATTTAAATTTCTATCCATTGATTTTTTTTAATTTAATCCGTTTCTTAAAAAAAAAGTATTGTTTTTCTGAAAGCTAGAGTTTTAACTGAAGCCGGTGAATGCATACTCACAGACCCTAAATCAGGGCAGACTCCTCATTACAATGACCCATTGTAACTGGGATATGATTAAATATGATGAATTAACTCCCTGGGTCCAGACAGAAACATAGTTTAGGACATTAGACCAGCCATGAGATCAAGATGGAACAAATTGCTCTCCCTCCACACTGGCACACTAAAGCTAGGCTGAGTCCACCTGGGTTGAGCCCCTCCATCTTGAGGACTGTCAGCTAGACAGTATCTGATGGTGAACCACATGAATCCACAAAGGCCAGGCAAGATCAGAACGGCTGTCGCAGAGAGGGAGGAATTCAAACGGGACAATTCGGAAATGGGAGAATGTAAAACGACACTGCCTGGACCTTTTTAAAAACAACAGGATGAAAAATCTATCTGTGGGTATTGACCCGTAATTAAAATATCATGCACAAAGGACGGGCGGGTACAGACATTCTCTATGTGTCGTTCTTTTCCTATTGATCTGAAAATAGGAATTCGATAAGAAGCCTTGCTTGAGCCAGTAATCAAGTAAGAGGATTTAGTGATGTCTGTTTGCCTTATTAGCAGACACACGCCGTCCTGGTGGCCATGATAAGGGTGAGTCAGCCTGCAGCTGCTGGTGGAGAGCCCAGCTGTGCGGGTCCCCGATTATGCTGTGAAATCGACATACCGAAGACTGAGGGAAGCTTCTGCGACTGCGGCTCTAACCCTATACCTGCTCTTGTCGACCGCTTGGGGAACCTTTCAGCGTGCGCTCAGACCTCTGCTCTCTCGTTGCTTAGCAAGTTAATGCTAAGCGAAACACAACATCCTAAGATGTCAATACTTTAGAATCATACATGACCATGTGCATGATTAATATGCACTATTTATAAATATTTTGAGTAAATATCTAGGGTTAGGTATACACTAACATTTTTAACTACAGGCAAGCAAGCTACCCAACTATTGTAGTATTTTGAGAGAACACTGTTTTATTGTAAAACGTATGGAACATTTAATCTCTTACATTCTGTATATATCCGTATAGTGCCCGTAGAAAATGATTTTTAAAAGTTTCATTTCGCTTAAAATTCAGTTTAGCCTAAGAGGAGCAGAGTTTATCGACGTACCTTTGCGAAAACGAGCTCTTCCCCGTTTTCACGCCTCTGTTTTTGGTACTAAAACACTTTTCATACGATCTCCCAGTTTTTAGCTCCCGAAGAAGAAATGCGCTGTTTTTACCCAGTCAGAGAGCAGCCTGGAAACGCAAGACCAGTTTATCACACAGGGGCTCGTGATTGCTGTCTTTCGCAGCTCGCGGCTCCCGGCGCTCCTATTTTATCGGACGCAGTCACTCATTATTAATAGGAAATGTAATATTAATCAACGGCATACTTACTCGAGTGTGAGGGATGGGATTTTAAGTTTGTCTCTCC